GTACTCGAAGAATCGGGAAAACCTAGAACATAGAGGGGCGGCTGATAGGATACTTGCCGACATAGCTTGGAAACGTGTCTTCGCGAAGGACGCGAGCATCGGTGAGAAGGCAGCTGCCTGGTCTGTAGCGAACATAATGAACACTAAATCAAAACTCGGTATGGGTATCACGAAAAAGAAGAAGCCTAAGAAGAAGAAGATAACGCTGAGAAAAGTTACCGAAACAGTCAAACGATCGATGACACAAAGCAACGACGCACAGGCAGTAATTCAGTCTGCTCTTAAGGGTGCCCAAACAGCTGTCAAGCAGGCTGGTGGAAAGAAAAATATACGTGCACCACGTGTTCTACCCGTACCATCCAAAGTTGGAGGTTTCCTGCCGTTTCTCGTGCCTATGTTTGCGGGTCTGAGCGCTGCTGGAGCGTTAGCAGGAGGTGCAGCAGGTATAGCCAAAGCCGTGAACGATGCCAAGGCAACCAAGGAACAATTGAAGGAAAGCCAGCGTCATAATAATGCGATGGAATCCATCGCGCTAGGCAAAGGACTGTACTTGAAACCCTACAAGAAGGGACTGGGCATTCATCTAAAGCCAAAAAACTTGAAGTGAAACTACCACGTCGGGCGTTAACTGATGCAGATCTGCTCAAGTACGCCAGGCTCATGAATATTCCACATTTTCGTGGAATTTTTATGCGGAATGCTATGCCAAAAGGTGGATCGTACAAATACGAATCGGCAATCGTCAATCTCGACGATGAGGACGGTCCCGGAACACACTGGGTCGCCTACATGAAGAAAAAAGACTCAGTAATTTATTTTGACAGTTTCGGTAATCTTCGCCCCCCACTAGATCTCATTAGGTATCTTGACGTTGGTAGTGTAAAATATAATTATGAACGGTATCAGAACTATGATACTTTCGAATGTGGCCACTTGTGTCTCAAATTCTTATGTGGGCAGTTAAATCGTAAGAATAAGTATCGTCTATATAAACATGCTGCATAATGTCATATCGTCAGTCAAGCGTTTGCAATCATGGAAGATTCATTCACGTTAACTTTATCAGGCAATTCTTCTATACTCGAAGCCCAGTACTTTCCCCCAATTGAACTTTCTCGAGATAAAAATCATGCTCTGGGGCTCATCGAATTATTAACCTTTAATTCGATTCCTAACGTGGACACTGGTCACAACAAATTCTACGTGGGTGATGAAGTTATCGTTATACCCATTGGTAGCTACCAGATAGAGGATATTGAGAACTATGTGCAGAGTGCGTCGATAGATAAAGTATCCTAATTAGTATTAAGCCTAACAATAATACCCTGTGCAGCGAAATTAAGTGTAACCGTGAAATCAATTTTCAACCTGATGATTCGATTGGTCGATTGTTGGGTTTTACTCAACGCGTTTTGGAAGCTAATAAATTACATACATCCGACGTACCTGTAGCCATTCTCAAGGTGAACGCCTTGCGAGTCGAATGCAACATTACTACAGGCGCTTACATAAACGAACGTAAGGTACACACCATCCACGAATTCTTTCCGGTTGTACCACCAGGATATAAGATTATAGAGGTGCCGTCGCACGTCATTTACCTCCCAGTATCGAGCAAGACAATAGATCACCTACAGCTTCGAATAGTCGATCAGGACGGAGACTTGGTGAATTTTCAAGGAGAAGTCATAACGATAAGACTACACGTGAAATCCATGTAATAATAATGGGGATCGTGTATAACCGAAAGATTGGTAGTGGTTATAATAGCGGCTATAATAATGAACCGATATGTCTAAAAGGAATCAGTCATCGTCCGCGCTGCAAAGCGTTAACACCTCAAAACGTGTTATTCCTGAGAAATCTAGGACTAAAGGTCACACCAGTCGGAAGAGGAAACTAAATCGTTCATTCTGCTGCTGCTGCTGCATTATTTTTATCCGCTGCTTACCATGGAGGAAGAAACTTTAAATATTCGAACACCAATCACCTTCGATGAGTCTATAGCGCACTGCGAAACGCATGCACACCAGCCTTATGCATCGTCAACGTTCAACAACAGTGATGAAATACGAATCTCCGTCCAACATCAAGACTTGTGTTTACTACCGAGTAGAAGTTCGCTGCATGTATACGGAAAGCTCGTGAAGGAAGATGGTTCTACGGCGGTTACAAACACAACCTTGGTTAATAACGGCATTTGTCATCTTTTCGATGAGATTCGCTATGAAATGAATGGTATAGAGATCGATCGAAATAAAAACGTTGGTCTTACGAGTCTCATGAAGGGCTACCTTTCCCTGACTCCTGGTCAACGCTCGGTGATGGATAATGCTGGTTGGGTGCAAGGAGACAAATTGACCGACGCAGCTGGTTACTTTGACGTATCCGTACCACTGAGTATGATACTAGGCTTTGCCGAAGATTATCGCAAGATCGTCGTAAACGCTAAGCACGAGTTGATTTTGACGAGAGCAAAGAGCGATGTCAATGCCATTGTACAAACTGCTCCGGAGGAATGCAAAGTTGTAATTCAAAAATTGGAATGGTTGATACCGTACGTAAAGGTTTCCGATCGTCGAAAGATAGAACTGCTGAAATTCATCGAGAAGGATGCACCCATCCCTATGAGCTTCCGCACCTGGGAACTGTACGAGTATCCTCTACTGCCTACCACATCCAAACACGTGTGGACCGTCAAGACGTCCAGTCAACTTGAGAAACCTCGATACGTTATATTGGGATTCCAAACTGGCAAAAAGAATAATAAAAATAAGAATGCCAGTCACTTTGACCATTGCAATGTCAGAGACGTTAAACTCTTCTTGAATTCGCAATGCTACCCCTATGGAAATCTAAACCTTGACATTGATCGAAATCAATTTGCTCTGCTGTACGAGATGTATGTAAACTTTCAAGCTACTTATTACGGCAAAGAGCCTGAGCCCATACTGAGAAAGAA